TTGGAAGATGACTCAGTCACAGAATCTGAAGTGGAAGTTTTAAGAAGGAAAGTGAAGGAATTGGGGTTGAGCTTTGAAAATGAGGCTATTCGAAGGAAAGGAGCAGAATCTACTGCAGAGGCGAAACGATTCCCAGTAAGAGATTTGAGTAAAGAAGAGAAAGTGTTCAAGTGCTAAACTGGTTTAGTGCCACAAGGGTTTAAAAAAAAAAACAGTTTTATTGTCTGCTGAAAAAAAAATTATGTCAAAAGCGCGAAAAAGTTATCTCCGCTTCAACATTCCGAACATTCCAGGGAACAAAAGAAATGTTGAACGGATGTTGAAGCAAAGTTTAAAGGCTTTTAAACTCTTTCAACACGGTGGAAAGGGGGTAACAAACGCTTTTAACACGGTGACCAATTAGAAAGCCTTTGCTACTTTGGCCACCACACACGTTTTTATAATCTGTACTTTATTTTAATCTGTAATCATTTGTTGCAACTTTACTTTTCTATCTATGTTAATTTTATGCAAATAGTGTGAAATAAATGAACCAATGAACCAACAAAATCGAAAGGATGTTGAAGCAAATGTTGAAGCCTTTTGCTAGGGCCTTTACTCTTTACCGTTTACTGTTATCATGCAATCACAATTGTGAGCGCGAATAAAACAACATAAAACAAGTTGATCTTCTTGACCCTATTTCCTCTTTTGTTTTGGTGAGTTGCAAACAGGCCGTTGTTATGGTATTTGCCGTGTTAAAATCTTTATTAGGTTACCAATTTAAGTCAAATTTCCCTCTAGAATGAATTTATAACCAAATGCAGTGAGGTTTCTGGGGAGTCAAAAGTTACTCCTTTTAACGTGTTTGTACTTTTACAGCGAAGCGATTTGTTAGGCTACGCGGATTTATCCCACGCATTTTCTGCGTGGAGTGAGCGAGTGTTCTCGCATAAGCTTTGAAGCAGTGGAAAATGGACATTGCCCTACTTGATTTTTAGATTAGCGATTTGATTACCTGCAAAAAATTCCTCCAAAGAAAGCATTTCTCAGGGTTTGTCGTTGATAAGCAACTGATAGAAGCCATCGGCTGTAAGTTTTTATTTTACGACATTAGGAAGCTGCGCCGGGGCTTGCTGTCTAACTTTGCATAAAGTGAGAGCGGCGAGCTTCCCTCTCAGTTCAGCGTACAAATGTACATCAGTATGTAACCGTCAGTGACGTACTGCCGCTCTGGAGGGTTATAAATAAATAAGAAACAACATCAGGAAATGATGAATAGGAGAATAAATACGGCGAATAACGAATATTTTAACGCATCAAAATATTACATTAAGGTGGTTGGTACTAGTTTCCTTGCGCGGGGAACAGGTCACTCTTTCATCACGCGCGAGAGAAACGTGCGAAAGAAGCGTGAGATTAAAAGACGAAAATTCAAAACAAAGATGGCGGCGCGAGACTTTTTTCTACTTTTGTAAGAAGTTTACCAAACGGCGTGTATTTGATGTGTTGAACGGTCACTGCGTATGCAGGAGACAGAAACGAAGATAAAGAACATGATTCTCGGAGACAGAAAGGTTGCTTCACATCTAAACGAAATATCCAACCCGAAATCTTGCGACCGCGAAAAAAAGAGAACTCAAGTGAAGGATAATCTGCCTGAAGTAGAACACTGTGAAACTTCAAGGAAAATAATACAACATAGCCAGAAGTTGTGAGTAGGTCCTTTAAGATGAGCCCGGGAGGCTGTCTTTGACGGCTATTGAATGATTTTCTGGGTCATCCGCGGTGTAAAAACCTGACGAGGTTTTCTTTGTTTCATGAGGTATTGTTTTGCTGTACGCTATTGTTTATAATGTTTTGATGTCTTTGTTTTACGTCACTCGTGAGCTTCACAGGTTTTTACACCGAGGATGCGCCGATTTTCCAAGCACAGCAAACGTCTGAAAACATCAGATCTTAGGTGCTCACGCGAACACACGCGATAGTCAGCGGTAGCTATAACAGATCAAGAGCAAATGTCGATCTCATAGAATCCAGATTTTTAAATGCGCGAGAACGCGCGTGGAAATTGCTAAACTCACGAAAGCTATTGCATGAAAACAAGTCCGGCGAACCCTTCTTTTTATTGTTCCAATATGATAATGACGTTGAAAGGAATCGTCAGAGAAAAAACTAGTAAATTCTAAGGAAGGACATTTGCGATGCGTGAAAATTGCCTATTTTCTGGATTTTCTGAAATTCCGCTTTGTGGAATTTTTTTTAAAGTCTTTGTGCATTTTCCTTTTCAAGTGCCTAAAGCAATCACTAAGAAAAATTACGGGGTCACCGAGTTAGTTTTCAAGTTATTTGAACCATAAGTTAAAAAATGCGTCTGAATAATCCTTCGAAAGTGTTGCCATGGAAACTGGTAGTGACGAAATGACACTTACTTTCGGATAGCCAATGATTATATATTCGAACCCTGTAAAAGTGTTCAACTGGCCTTGGTCAGACTTTTTGTTGGATTCTTTCAAAGTTACAAAGCATCAAAAAGATGAAAACTGGTACCAGCTACCTAAAACATTAATCACAGGATGTATCTATGGATGTATTGACCGCACAGTATTGTGATGTTACAACTGCTAATGTTCTGGCTAGTTTTTGTGACCCTTTTTATAGAGCATGCGATGTACTGTAATTATATTTGAAAAAACTCTATACTCTAAAAATAAGAACCCGTTAAGAGATTTACGCCCAGGATGGTTCTTATGTGAAGAGTACTAACTGGGAAATTTTACCCTACGCAGGTTTTGACTGTACTTTTAAAACTGTCAGTTCACGCGGAAATCCTAGAAAATGACATCAAAGTGGGTTTATTTGGAACCTAAAGACTGGTTCACTAGTTGAAAGATTCTTCGAAATCTAGACCTGTTCAGTCGTGGCAAAGGGCTCGAATAATTCGATTCGAAAGACCTTTACACCGTTTGACGGTTAATACTGAGCTGCTCTTTTAACACTTGATTGCCTAACTCTAAGCCGGTTAACATCTGACGGTTCAACACTAACGAGAATCTATTTTCATAAGTGTCCTTGTTCCACTCATGCAATCTCTCCTCCGAAAAAGTGGAAAAACTCGAGTCGTCTCTTTGAAAACAGTAGTTGTTAAAAAAGAAAAAAAGAGCACACGTGCCGCCTGCTGGGAATTAAAAACCCAAAGATCTAATATCAGCTTCAAAATTAGTTGACACATCATGTTTGAAGAGTTCCACTTTAAGTGAAGAATAACAATCCTGTTTCTACCACATTCAAAATCATGAACAGACTCTCCTCTCCCATTCAGTGTTAAAAGTTCACGGAATCAAGATACAACAGTGTTTTTTGGGGAGGGGAGGGGGAGGGGGCAAAATGCTTGACTTGACGAGGACGAAAAAAGTAAACTTGAAGTGGTATGGGGTTGAAAAGGTCATAAGGTGAATAAGTTCATCGCGGATTTCTTGAAAGAGTGACCTTTATTGCCATGAGAATTTAAAGAACAAATCCTTTTCAAGGCAAAGGTAGCGCGGCCCTTTTTTTAAGAGAGAAGTTTAAGCACATTGGAAATGGTATGCAGTCCTCAAAAAACAAGCTCTCCATTCCGCTCAACAAACGATTGCGTACCTATTGGGTAGGTTCCCTTCATTACGCGCGGGTAAATGTTGTCGATACAAAAATCATTTTTACCGTCAAACCTTAAGAGACAAGGAAGATATCTTACCTATGATCTCGATCAAACACCCCCAGCGTTAATTTAAACCTACGTAATTTTGGTTTTATCAACCGAGTTGATAATGTAAATTGGCCACCGTAGAAGAGTTTCGACGGAAGTTTACGATTCGAGCGTCAGCCCCTTGTCCTAGCGAATTAATTTAGAGCGAATTGCATTTAACCTTAGCCTGGTGGAGCAGTAGGGTGAAGCGAGGACGGTTTTTAATTGGAACCCGGCCTTCTTTGACGCACTGTAATTTTCCGTCATTTTTCCAGGTTAATATTTTATTTTGCATCCTAAGATACCGAGACGAATGGCTAGTACCTTCGTCCAGCCGCGGCAAACTATCGCTGGGTCTTTTCAAATGGCTATTACGGTCAAACTTACAGCTATTTCATGTATCATGCGTTTCGTATGTTACGAGTAATATTTGCTAAAAACAAAAACAAAAAAACAAACAAAGAAATAAAGAAACAAACTACACTAAACTAAGCTAAAACAACTACATTAAGACACTTCGCGGAATATTATATGACAAACAAAACCGCTGACCACCTTTACTCTTTGAGTGAGCGGCTATACAACATTCGTTTTAGCGGATTCATGTGAAATCTCAAGGCTAATACTCAGGCAAGTAAGGAGAAGCGGAATTACAAACGAAAACGGCACAAGATGAGTAATACTTTATGGAAATGTTTTACTCGCTTTGACCTCAGACCATAATTGTCTGCGCAAGTGGATCACAAGGATTCGTCCATTACTCCCGCGGCGGGAAAATTGAATACAGTATCGAAGCCGAGCAAGCGTCGTCAATAAACAACTTAGATTTCAGACGCAACCTGAAAAATAATGAAACTACTTTTTGCGCATTTTTACCTTGAGTGATCAGACGAAATTCTCTCATTTTAAGGCTGCTGTGTTTTGCTACGAACAAAAAATCGAGAACGCGCGCTTGGGAACATAAAAACGGGATTTCCATCATAGGTGACTCAAAGAAGTTTACGCTAGAATCTTTGATATCAATGTTAATGCATATGTAAGTCTATTGCATGGTCACGTAGGCTAATGATTGATGATTAAAGCTAAATGAGTAATAACTCATGCTTGTTTCAATGGTCCAGTTCTCTTTGCCACCGTCTGGAACTCTCTACGATGGTTGTGATCAATTCATTCACAGATTCCTTCAATCCACCAGGCCGACCAAAGGCGGTTTACCTGTATGACGGGCTGGCAAAAAGTCAAAGAAACACTGCATTTGTTGCTAGGACCAACACATAGAGTGGTAGATCACTTAGCGAGACTACAAAAACATAGCATGAGTCACGCAAGTCACGCTTCCTGGGTGTCCTGCGGGCGTCCATAACTTGGAGGTCTTGCTGCGACCCTGCCAAGTAAATTAGAACAAAGTAGGTGGAAAATTAAACCAATTGCAATGTGACCCGTGGAAGCACCAAAGGCATTACAATAAGATGAATGACAGCTTCATGCCACACAATAGTTCATTAAAAAGCCTATTATCTGAGCGCCTTTTACATTCTTTTGGTTAGACTTCAGGTAAGTCATACTTCAAGCAAATAATTGAGTCAGGAATTGGCATTTTACCACTCGTTATCCTCTGAGGTGCGTTCGGTTCTACACCATCGGACTCAATTTTCACCTCGCAGACATTGATCGAGCACATAATTATAATTTGCACATACGCGATCACACCTTAAATAACGCTTGCGACACATTTACTGTGAGGAAAACTCAATTAAGTTAAACATGGATCTTTTAACAGCTTAGAAGACATCAACGCACTTCTAAACTATTACCTTACACTCTCGCAAACTCGTCTTATTTTGCAGCTAGAGTCGCGCAGACATGGACCAAAGACCGGTGAGCAGTTAATACACGCAAAACCAACCCAAGTAATTGAGCGATGAACTCCCCTCTATTGTTGCCGAGCCACTCTCCTAACTATAAACTCGTTGTTTGCCACACGAGATCAAAATACCTGTTTATAAGGATCACTCGTTGTTTACTGAGCAAAATCTAAGCACTAAATGAAAGTTGGAAATTCTTTCAAAAGCGGTTACAGTTAAGCGGGAGCAGCAATAATGTATCTTCTAACCTATTGTACTTTCTACGACACCTTGAATACTGCAAATAATACCCATTACCAACACTAGAATACTGTTATTATTGCAAGTGTTTTTATTTACTGATTGAAACACGTAGCACATCATTCTTGGTTAAATAGTACTTGTTTCTAAATTCAGACTTTTAAATTGTTGCTGATCAAGATTATAGTTGTTTTGTTTCGTTCTTGCAATTCGAGTTGAAAAGTCATCAGTCTTAATATTTTAAAATAGTTAGACTACGACGAGAGACAATTCTACCTATGCACTAAGAAGTCCAAGAAAATTAAATATTAGATTTACAATATGTAAAGAGCAATTATGATAACAAATGTTCTCAAATTTAGCTACTTTTGTTGTCCTAATTTAATTTCAGCGAAATCAAGGCGGATCGCCAAATGCGTAAGTAAATATCCTTTACTGCTTTCCTATTTACACGTACAGAAGTAGTTACTCGCTATCCACTTTCTCAGTTGCTCGAATTTATGCACATAGAAGCAGAGAGTGAGCTTTTAGTTCAAGAGTTATTGCACCCCCTTTCATCCCGAACAAATAGTTATCTTCAATTCAGTTGACCTTCTTAATTTAAATTTTGGTCGCCAGGGCGAGTGAAAAATATTTTTGGCGACCAAAATTTTGACAAAAGTCGCCAATTAGCGACCAACAGATTTGACAAAGAAAGACAACCTGTCGATCCTTGGTTGAATTATCAAATGTACAATAACGCATAGACCTAAACTAAATGAGTATTGATCATTTTATATAACGTGCAGCATTTAACACTAACGTTCAACTTTGTTAATATTCATCTGTGTTGCCAAAGTATTAAATGTTTTGGGTAAAAAAAAAAAAAAATCTTTGCAACTATCTAATCATTTATCTATTTATACACGACCCACAAGCTACAAAGCTTAAATCCTTTTTGTGTTTTAATAAAGGAAATTATCATTATTATTATTATTATTATTAGACACCAATACACTGACACAGTCAGGACTAAAAACTACAGCTCTAGACTCAGAGTTCAGAAGCATTGTACACTCAATCATGACATGTACGTTCACCTACAAAAAATATTTATCAACAAATCCTTCAAACATTTTTGTTTGTGTGTGAATTGTCTGAATGCGTCATGTGAGAGAAGGTATCCATGCTAAACTTGGGAACATCTATTGATATTCCCCAAGTCTGAAACCTTACATAGGTTACATATTAGGTTAATTGACCACTCCCCGTAAGGGACTTTCAGGGCCAACACCCGGCACCCATCCATTTCTTGTTATAGAAAGGTAGCAAATTCTCCTCGTTATTTTATGACCACGAGTATTGGTCCGGCCAGGGCTCGAACCCTCGACCTCCTGCACGACCCAATCCTGCGCTCTAACCAACTGAGCAATATTCTATGCACCAAGATTCAATATAATGAATCTTCATTGAAATTGTAATCAAAGATGGCAGAGCCCTTTCAAGCTTTGCTCTTGCAAATTATTTTGCCTCTGGGTACAAACTAAGTCCAAAAACATACATTTGAGCATATCTTCACACCAAATGGTATTGCTTAGTGATGTAACATAATTATAAAATTAAGCACAGGGGTTGGGGGAGAAGTCCTGCATTTTTCCAGGTGTGTGGTGTGTTCATTCAAGGAGCAGCCTGTTTGAGGATTCAAGGAAATTATTTCATGCTTTTTTTTTAAGCCAAATTACCACCAAATCTAATTCTACAGCTAATTTGTTGCTGACATAGAATTCCATTTAAGAAAAATTTGACACATTCCACATAACTTGCATTTGTAAAGTAAATAAGCTCTAGCTTCATATGAGTAAACTATAGCTATAAGAAAGCTTATGCTGTTAAATCATTAATCTAAGACTTTTAATTTTGAGAACAGTAATGTACATGGTAATTAAACTTACTGTGTCCTTCATGATCTGCATTCCTCTAGGCCTATTAGGGATGATTTGGTCTGGTGGATTACATCTCATGAAGCAATTTTGCATCTAGATGAGGTAAACACTGAAAAACAAGGATTAATTGTCTCAAAAGATATCATGAATAACCCTTATCACTCCCAAAATCTCATTAGTAGTTCTTCTTACTGTCTGCCATACAACTCTTTTGATGTTGGTTTGGAGAATTTGGTATTGAATCAACTAATAATCCCCTATTTGATACGAGTGAGTGAGAGTAACAATAGAATTCTGATCTTGACCCAAATTGACTCACTGGTTCCCTGTGCTACTTATTCTTTGTTCTGGATTACTACAGAAAACAGTAAACATCTCAAATAAATTTGAGGATTGTGCATGAAAAAACAAAGTTTTTCCTTGCAGAAATAACTTGAAAGGTGTGATCAGCATCATAAAAACTTAAGAAAAATGTTTTTCTTCAAAGAAGGAGTAGTTTACCATTTGAATCAGAAAATCATGCCAAGTGGATCTGAAGATATAACTGTTTTCAGTTCTTAATAACTCATTTTCCTGCCTATATAAAGAATTTGTTTTCACTCCGGTCCTCTTCCCATCATCGTCGTAGCAACTGCGTTCTTTCATTAAGTAAACCTAAAAAACTACCTATGGTCTCAACTTAAGATTAAGAATTTGTAAATAGTATTTTCTTTTCTTTACTTTTGTGTGTTTATCATCATTATTATTATTACTATTAACATTATTTTAAATAAATATATTTATATATCACTTTTTTATGTAGTCTCAGCTCAAAGATATCAGCTTGTTAGCTACTCTAAAATTTGAGTATAATCAAGTTTTTGTTATGTGTTATGTTATGTTATGTTATGTTACTAGTACTTGCCACAGAAGCTATGTCTCTGGGTAACTAAGAGAATCAAGCAACACCCTTGGCCTTTCCATCTTGACCTGTACAGTGTTTTAAAGTGATAGACTGCACCACAAATAATTGTAGAGAAAATTAAACATCTAAGGAAAAGAATACACAAACTAATATATTAAGAACAAAGGAAAATGTTAGTTATATCACATGACCATAAGCATTGAAAAACCATAGCTTAGATCTTAATCAAGCATGTATGTCTAAATTCATGTTTCATTCTCCATTTACAGCCAACCAATGATGGTGAAAAAAACCTAAGGTATGTGCATGGAAAAGAAGAAAATCTGACTTCATTTCACATACATGCAGGGTACACATCCCAACTGAACTGTGCAGCAACTAATTCGTAATTCTTCAGAGTAAAACAATCGACTCTCTGAAATTGTATTGAGAGGTAACCGCTGTGTGTTTAATTTTCAAGTACTTGCATGCAATAACCGCCCAGTTAGCCCAATGGATAGTGCACTGGACTGTTGTGTGGGAGGTCAAGGGTTCAAGCCCCGGCCGGACCAACACTCAAGATCTTAAAATAATTAAGAAGAATTTGCTACCTTTCTATAACATCAAGAAATGGTTAGATATTCTAGTCTTCTTGGATAGGGATGAATAAATGGAGGTCCCGTCTCCTGCAGGGTTGGAGGTAGGAGACGTTAATTTCCTGCGCATGAGATTACAGTGTGATGGATGTCCTTCTCTGGGGTGGGATGATGGGTTAAAAGGGGTTCGATGTCAATTGAGACGAAAGTCCTGTTACTTTCTACTGCCATTCCTGTGGTGAATGAATTAAATTCTAAATTCCAAAAATTCTAAAATCATGAACCATGGTCTCTTTACAAGGACACCTATAGTAGTGGTAATGAAAATTCAAGAGGCAGGATGTTTTGCCACAAAAAAACAATTTGGAAGTCAATTTATGGTGACATGTTATAATTGGCTATTCACTCTTTGGCAGGCTAATGAATTCAGTTTTCAGTTTGCAATATGTTTCTGTAAATGACTCACATGCCTTTTAATATTTCACAAAAATTATTTTTTTTGAAGAAACTGTAGCTAAAATAGTAATACTTGGATTGACATGCGAAAAAAAAATTGACCCTCAAAAGGTGTGCCATATCCTTAAGGAATCTACAACATACACAATCTACACGATGCAAGGAAAGAAAAGGGATAAACTTGACAGGGTACACATGCTGCCTCTCAATTTTCTGTTAAGTCATTGATACATCCTGATAAATGCCCATCAACTCTTTTGTCTACATCAAGTTATCAACTGTTGAGGAATTTATTCACTAATCTTAAATTTTTCTTCTCATTTCAACTGAACCCTGAAAACAAATGTACAACATCAGGAAAATAATTATGAACTGGCTGTCAAAAAGATGCAAGGTAGGACATGGCTATGATACGAATCAATATCATCATTCAAACATGTAGTTTATGCACATGTGATGTCTAAAGAAATACTACACTTTTTAAATTCATATGGCTCAATGATTCACCTTCCAATCAAAAACAAAACTGAAGATTCTTCACTTTTACAGCTGCCATGTTTTTAACACCCAACATTAATATATTACGTATGATTAATATATTTTAAGTTTAATTCATGTTGTGTCATGCTAAACTGCAATAATGCTGTTACTGTTTGTCCATTAGGGACATCATCACTTAATTTCCACCCAGCTAAGTTTCATTCACGGTGTATCATGCTAAACTGCAATAATGCTGTTACTGTTTGCCCATTAGGGACGTCATCACTTAAGTTCCACCCAGAACTTTAAATAACAAAAAAAAAACCTGAAGATTCTTCACTGTTATGGCTGCCACACTTTATCACCCAACATTAATTTACTTTAAGTTTGATTCATGTTGTATTATACTAAACAGCAATAATGACGTTACTGTTTGCCCATTAGGGTCATCATCACTTAAGTTCCACCCAGAACTGCATTTGAGACAGTGTCTTCGCTTAAGAAAACTATAAGTCATGTTTATCATAAAAGCATTTTGCCCACCTTATCTTGAAGTTAGTTTGGTCTAACCCTTCCAAGCAGGACTGTTATTTTATGATAAGTACTTGGATACCCTGATTACATTTAAAATAAAATGATTCGAGGCTTGTCTGGAAATGTATCCTCCCTTCACAATGGGTCTTCACTTGTGAAACTTAGTTGTCATTGAAATTCGCTTGTGTCAGCCACTGCATTCACTCATGACTAAGTAACCACTTTTGTGTCCTTACAAAAGAGTAACCCCGAACAACATAGCAAACTCTTGCCCTTATACCATTCCCCATAACACTGGGCACTTATCCCTGGAGTAGTCCTGCTTAACAACCACAATCCTGTCAATACATGTATTAAAGTCTGTGCCACAAAACAATTAGTTCTTTGATTACAGTCCAACTTGTATTAAGTGGGCACCCACAGGGAATGGTAGGGTGACCACTTAATACTGGTTCCACAGAATAGAGATAAAATTAAAAAAAAAAAAAACAGAAAACAATTAAAAATGCCATCCCACACCATAATTGACCACTTAATGAACGAAAACTTGTTAAAAATTTACTAACATTGATTTCAGGTGAAAAATATGGATTAAATTTTACTTGAAAGATTTTTCTTTTAATCAAGTGATTCTGCTGACCATTCAATGCAGGCTAAGGACAATTCAAACCGGCCCTTGGGACTCACTCAAAGGTGACCATGACTGCTTCATAGAGGTCAAATTACTGTGATTAAGGGGAGACAAATTCAGAGCTTTGACAACCTACCCTTTAATACAGGGTGACTACTTAATACAGTACTGCCTAATTCAGGTTTAACTGTATTTTACCAAAACAGGTGATACCACAAGAACTATAAAAACTGGAGGACCCAAGACTTTCATGGTGCCAACATTTTTAAGTTTTTACTATATATTAGGCAACTGAAGTATTTCAAATGATGTCTTGCATTACAAGGTTTTGAGAAAGACAAGGTTTTGTGTCATTTGTATCATCAATATTGTTTTAAGTTTGCAAAGGGCAAAAGATGTACACTTGTGATATAAATTAAAACAGTAACCAGCATTATGATGCCGTCTGATGCAGCATGAACATACTTTTACTTTCTCTGCAGAAGTAACCTTGCAACACTGTTACCTTTTTGTTCTGTAAGTAATTAACTATATTGAAATGTAACAAAGATTTCTTAGATTCATTTTACAGCTTTTCATAAAGACAATGGTTTGCCCTATTCTTATCACTATCATTGTAAGCTAGTTTGAGATTTAAAACTTAACTTTCTGGGTTGCAGTCTAATACAGTGTGAATTTATACTTGCTTGCTTTACAGAGGTAATCTATCATCGCAAGATATTTCCTTGTGCAACCCAAAGCACAAATGTTTACAAAGATGATGAAATAATCATCACCAGTTCACACACCTATCACGCTTTCAATATCCAGAGAAGGAAAATTGAACAAAAAACCTTCAGCAACAACAATAACAACAACAGCAATCCTTAACCTTTTGACCCTCTTCTCTGAACGAGAGATATAGTGCTTACATCCGAGAAGAAGTGGATTTATGATGCAAAACACCGAAGGCAGGGTTTAATTCAGAGCGACTGAGGTGTTACTCAGTTGTTAAGGCTTCGCTCAAAAATTTCGAGTGCCTATGTTTGCTGTCGTTATTTTTGTTTCGGCACTAAAATTACCTTCTTGGAAAGTAGAAGGATCGGCAGCTACCCTGTTCAGATTCACCCGCTCGGTCTAAATTCGCTTCGTGCTGACTTTGTGCTTACATTCATTGCGCGTGAGCAGAGGAATTCAGTAAATTCTACAATCTCATTGGTTCGAAGAACTGGCGGAATTTTCCCGTTGGGGCCGACCCGCTTTGCAGTCGAACAGGAAATATGCTCGATTTCCGCCGCTCTCGGGTCCGGTCTTTCTCGTTCTTCCCGGAGAAGAGACTCTTTGGGGAGGAGCGCGGGCTTCGGTTCCCGAACAAGCGGTTGGTAATCGAGCCTAGGCCCAACGGTTCTCTTCGTCTTCTGAAGTGAACAATTTAAAGGAAAATCGCCGGCACTGTTTGAAGAAGCGCCACAAAATTAATTTCCATGACAACTTAGCCAAGGTATGATCCCGAAAAGGCTCAACATTTTACGGTTAGTTATAAGGTGGGGGGAAATTTTGTGCCCACCTCTTGCCATGAAAACTTTTGCAACATGTCACGACTTCGAAGGGTCATATCTTCGTTGGTCACGTCTTCAACACATTTCAATTAAAACTGGCAATATTTGCTAATTTTCTTGAGCTCTTTCGAGCAGTATTTAAAATTTTAATGAAAATGAGTCAATTGGTGAAGGATTTAGCGCTATCTCCCTGCTCAACACACCTCAAACACCCTTCCCGCCTATGGTCTGAGGTACGAGGCGGGGATCCGACAGAAGTTTCGTGTGAAAGGGACTTATCTTGAATTTGACTTGTTGACCTCGGTACCTCTGTCTGAAAAAAAATCTTAGCTATTTAACCTAATGAAACATTTTTTTTTGCCATAAATTTCCCAACCTTTGACTGTTACGCTATTACTTTATCAAGCCCTACCAAAAGCAGAACACCTAATCGCAGGTTAACATCATAACTGACTTTTACTTCGATACATTGCCAACTCAGTGGTTAGCGTTGATGATCAAGGCTTCAGCTTATATTAAGATTTCTTTGTTATGCGCATCAAATCGGACAGTTATATAGCTTGTGAAAACTATCCAACAAATCTTATTTACCACTGAGGCGTTTGTTTACCAAGATTTAAATTATTAATCAGCCAGAATTAGGTAAAATATTTAGTGAGAAAGTGTTCAGGTTCAATTTTAAATACTCAAAATCTGGTACAAAGCCCACGTTGCGTACTTAGTGCATATATCTTATTAGATGTTTTGTTGTGTAGTATCGCTGAGTATTTTTACGAGTTGCGCCAAATTGTTATTTCAGTGCGGGCGAATTTCGCGTATATTTCTGGGCTCGTCAAAACTCAAATAACAGAGACCGCGCGGCCGCGGAGCAAGGTTTAAAGTGGGAGGGCTGACAATTGAAAATATTTTTTTCATATTGAAAATCGAAAAAAGGAATGAAATCACAGTTTTTTACTTCTGTCGTGTGACTTTGCATACTTTATCCAGTATTTGTTGCTCTTTATAGATCGGCATTAGTGAAGATACCGTTTCAAGTCTTTTTTTTGTTCTAATTATTTTTCTTTTTAGCGCAAAAAGTGGGGGCTGGGCACAAAAAAGTGGTTGGGCCGCGGCCCTACCAGCCCCTCCCCCTCCGCGGACCATGAATAACAAATAAAAATACTCAGCGATACTACACACAAAACGTCTTAGAAGAGATTTATGATCCAACACGCCAAATTGTTATTTCAGTCCGGGCGAATTTCGCGGATATTTCTGGAGTACAAATATCGCGTGATATTTGTACTCGTCTCGCCCGTTATTTGTACTCTACGAAGCACAGTTGGATAATAAATATACCATATTAGATTTTCTGTTGTGTAGTATCGCTGAGTATTTTTGCGAGTTGTGCAGTATTTTGACCAGCCCGTAGGGCTAGGGCGAGTCAAAATACAAATAATGACTAAAAATGCTCAGCGATACTACACAACAAAACGTTTAATTAAAGATTTATTATCCAACACGCCAAATTGTCACTTCAGTGCGGGCGAATTTCGCGTATATTTCTGTTGTACAAATATTTATACTCGTCTCGCGCATTATTTGTACGCTAAGAAGCACATTATTGAAGTTTCTCACTATAATCCCGCACATTTGAGCCCGCACACAGGTACGCGGTTTTCTCCACAATGACACGCATGCGGTAACCGTAAAATGGCGGCAAAAAGCTCTGTACCTCGTGAACATAGTTCTTGGTGTATATTTAGAAGATGGCTTGAGGAAATTCAATGGGCATATTTCTCTTGGATCAAAATATGTTTCCCGGATCACGACAGAAAAAGCTCTCGTGACAGCTGATACCTTCGACCTTAGTGTAACCGACTCGTGCAACACAGAATCGTTTTTGGAAGCAATTTGTAGGGCGAATGAACTCACCCTTGAAGTTGAAAATTAAGCAAATGGCACAACAGATGCTACTCTTACCCATCCAACAGCGGCAGCTTGGAGGTCCAGCATACGTTCTTTTCAAAACCTGGCTTTGAGGCGACAACTCATTTTAAATCTGCCTTAAGTAGAGTTAAACGGGCCGTAAACATCCAGCCATAAAGCGCAGGAGAGTGGTCTTATCGCAGTACTCGTTTCAGGTGAGGTTGACCAGAGTAAAGTTTTTTCATTTTGTTCTATTTTTGCTTTCCCAAAGCTTTTAGTTTCCATGTGCCTCGTGAAACTCGCTTGAGCACCGTTACATGTCCACGATTATTATCCAAAATAACGTAGCGGTGAAAATTTACCTTTGAATAAATCGATTTACAAACCTATATTATGGTTTAATAGTTTTGCAACACCATGAATAATTTATCGAGTAAGGTCCTTGGGCATGCAGTTTGTTACTTTATACAACTATTGGTTATAGGACTTTGTCTCATACAATCAAATGGTAACATGTGCTTATTAAGGATCCGCTTAGTGATTAATCAATAGGTGGTCACGTGGTTTGAAAATTGGTAAACAAGAATTCAAAATGGCTGCTTAAGTATAAGCCACAGACGATATCTTATGGACGAAATTCCTTACTCTCACGTCGAAATTTTCATATTCACAGATAAATCAGCACTCAAAAGATTGCAGAAATATAGAAATTGGCAGCAATCGAAATGGAGTCTTTCAAAACTAGAATTTAGGTTATAAACCTCAAGTTGAACCTCTGAGCACACGATCTTTAAAGATCGCAAAAATAAATGAAACGGCACTAAAGGAAGGGAAATGTATCACGAAACGAACATTTTCGCGATCTTTTGATCTAAGTTTACAATGAAGAAGTATTTTGGCAAGAACTGTAAACTTTTTTTGTTTCGTGTTACTGTGTGTGCTCTGCGGGTTATCAGAACAGCAGCCGGTCAAGGTTCTCAAACGACTGAATGAACTGCAGTCGTATATTCTTCCTGAAAATTTCAGAAATTGAGAAGACCTAAAAAATCCAAACTATCATATGACGATGAGGAACTACTAAGTGATCCCATTTATATCTTTCATGTCTAATTCTTGATTTACATTGAACTGAATGTCAAGATCTGTGATTTTATTCTTCAAACCAACTTCAAATAGAAGTACAAAGGGAAGAATGTGCTGGTCGGGAATCTGTCAACTGCTATGAACAGTGTACATGATCAACATCTGCTGACTTCCATGTTGATCTTGACTATTGTGTGACTGACTTTGTTGGCTCAGCTTTGCAGTCAAAGTACTGATCAACATACCTGATCTATTTGTAGGCAGCCTATGCTCCAGTTTTTTTCCAAAGGCAATGGTGATTACTGGGGTGAGACGAGTCATTCATGGTTTAGTTGATATGAAGATTAGTGCTTTATTAAATTTTAGTAATAGACCCGTACCAAGAGTAGCCATAGGGTTATGCTTCATGAACCTCACTGTAAGAAAGATATGTTCAGGTTTCCTTTTTCCCAAGAACTGTTAAAGACTAGAATTAGCTCCTCAGCACATCAATTTATCTAGTTATTTTTTTTATTCTGTATTGTTTACATTGTAGAATGTAATTTTTATGTTTGCATTTTGCTAGGGGTTGGTGTGTTGCCTAACCGGCTTTTACCCACCTTATTGAAATGATGATGAATCCAGTATAGTCTTAAATTACGTGAGCAATTCAAAACATTCGAATGACTGTAAAGTTCCAAATTTGTCAACTTTTGACAGAAACAAATTTATTTACGTGGGAATGAGCTTGTAATTCATATTTTCAAACTGAAAAAAAAATGTAGAAATAACTTGACACTTAAAAGCCATCAGGAAATCCAGTAACAACAAGGTAATGGTCTTTATAACTCCCGAAAGGGAAAACTTGAAGGATCTTAAATTAAACCCAGCAATAGACTTTCTCACTTGGCGGCCCAAGTTAAGCTTTGTTTCTGTACATCAAGGATTGTAGCAAAAAGAGTTTAGACATGGAAAAACGACACCTTCTATTCGGGAGGACTCCTCCATTTACCCATTACATTTACATTTCTAGTTTTCTATCAGTTCCTGAGTTGGTTAGTGCAGATATCGCTTCCTACTTTTAGCATTTTTTCCCAGGTTTACTTAAATAAGTTAAACCTTTTCGTTTGGCGTATTTGTTTACTACCATTAGTATAATTTTACACGTAAACAATTTCGTCAATAGTTTTAGGTTTTGGGCTACAAGAAGTTTGTTTCTATTCGTACAGGCCTCTTCGCCGCATTACAGTGCACAATTCAAGTTATTCCAAAAACTCAGAGTAGAACGTGTTTCACAAAGAGGTAGTGTTCAATTTTACCACAGAATGAAAACAATTTCCTTTGATTTTTGCGGTACATTTTTGAGGTCTAGAGTTCCGTTTTGTTAAAACAGAAAAGAGTAGGGTAGTTTTCATATGTTATCCAAAAGCATAATCTTCTAATTAATCCGGCTTATGATCTGATGAGGGCTTGCAAGAGATTTTTAATACACTGAAGATATATATATATATATTGTTTTCATCTAACAAAGATGTAAAACTATTCCTTTCTATGTTAGCAAACAGTTCAAGATTACGGTGATGATCGTTCGCGAAAGGTGAACATTGGTAGAAAAGAAAAGGATAGAAAGCTACAGAATACCAAACTAATCCATAAGCCACAAGCTCGATATCAAAATAAGGTTTGCGAAGCTTAGCAACATTTAGTAGAAACAAAAGTACTCTGTTGAGCTTTTTATCAACATTGCCAAAACTTGAACGCATTTTAGCTTATGACAAATCTTGCCATAAGTAGGAGATATAAAGGGAAATCCCTCAAATTTTGTATTAGTAGTAACAATACTCGAGGTTTTCTCTAGGTATAGAATGATGCCTTGTCGATGAAATGAGTTTTCAAATGAATTAAGTTCTTAGCGTTTACCGTAATTTTATATTGAACTTTTGCACGATTACTGACTCAAGATTACGACCATATTTGTAGAGAGTGACTTTCATCTTTCCGATGAAATATTGAATCTTTTCATATCGATAGAGTGAGACAATACACAATGGCTTGAGCACTTTAAGTGATATTTTTAAAACTCTTGTTTGTAATCGATCTGACCATGCTTTTTATTACAAAAAAACGTTGCAATTTACTTCCACCTCAACTACTACCACTACTATTACTTAACTGTTTACTAATCGAACAGAGACTAGAGAGTTATAGTTTAACATAAAGACTAGTAAAGCTTTTGTTTGGTTATTCAGATGCGTCATACCTTCGTTGGATACATCTTTAAGGCCATCATCAATCGACAAAATCGATTCTGAACCGACAACGTCTTGTACTTTCGCTTTCGCGTCAGTTTCCGCTTTTCCGTGTGAAGCAGGAATGTGAAGCGAAGGCTGCGAATTTGCAGCAAATTCTTGAGAAATGCTGTAATGATCAACACAATACCGTCGTTAGGGTGCTAATTGCTCTTGGAGAGAATAAAGCAACAGCTGTATTGCACAGTTGAAGCGATACGATATAAAAATGGAAATTAACATAGTGGATATATACGTACTTTCAGTCAAACAAGCTCGCAGTAAATGTAAATTCCGCTTTCACCTCGCCATTCCTTCGTCATTCCTTCATTCAGATGTAAAAATGTCGTCATGGATGGTTTCTCGGAAATATTATTATTACTATTATTATTCTCGGAAATATCCCGAACGTCATCATATCGAGGCTAAAGGAAGGCGTTATTCGAGGATGGCAAGGTCGACAAGCAATAGAAAGTGTCGTACCTGACATGAGTCACAAATCGGCCTATACACCAACCTTTTTACTCGGGCTACAGAGGTAGGCCGAGTCCAGGTTTCGGTTTCCTATCAATCTATCTATCTATCGACAATTTTCAAAGTGTGTAAGCCGGAGTTGCGTGACGGTCTGCCGTATTCCTCTACAAGCATGACAGCGTCCAAGAAATAAAAGCAACATGGACGCCCTGTTGAAATCTTTCAAGCTGACATTTATTGCATCAACAGAATCAAGAAGCCTTGGACTTATGTCAGTGGCAATAACGATTAGTTTCTTTTTTCTTGCATTGTTCTTCTTCACGATGTTTTCATTCTAATAAAGAGTCACGTTGATTGGAGGAAAGCAGGACTCGCTATCATGTAGCGTGATAGAGAACCAAGTAGAGTCTCAGTCAAACCACTTACACGTCTTTTGCACAAAGGCAGAAAAAGAGATAAAGGTTCGTGAGTAAGTTGTCGTGAAAAATGTGCCTATGTCATCTAGAATACATTGCTTTGTCAGTAAATGTAATTTTGACCACGACTAAGTAAAGTATCCCAAAAGTTATCATCAAAAGTATAAGAGAAACCTAGCTTCTGTTATTGCTTTACCCAGACAGAGGAAACTACGGTTAAGACATTCACTTTTTATATTTAGTAAAGGGGCAAAGAATGCCAAGTTTATTTATCATCCTCCATTCTTGACAAATCCAAGTTCACAAAAATGCTGCTCGCAGTTTATCCCATGTCTACAGGACTCTCAATCACAGAACCATTCACCGAAGTTTATCCTAAGCAGAGTTGAAGAAAGAAATCCTGGCCCTTAAACGGTGATTGATTCCAACAAAGCAATCTCTGCTGTATATTCTCAAGGTAATACTGCAAGATTTGGGCCAAATGCTCTTTTCATGTTACACATGAGTAGCCCGAGTAAACGCTAGTTGGAGTCTAGTTGTGCATATGACAAGCAGGTCAATTAACTAGAGTGTATCCCAGCGAAAAATTGCGACATTGGAAGTTAAGTCGTGTTTAAGTTTTACATGACATTTACCAGTGTTTGACCGTATCTGCTTTGCTCTGCTAATAAACGCCATATCTGAAACGCTTGTAATTTGATTAACAGTATTGCGTTTCGTTGAGTAAATCGGGCAACATCAACTCGAATCCAAGAACTATAATGCCTGTGCACTGAAACCCCACACCTGTAAGATTGTCTTTCGTTTCCTGGTTTTTGCAAAACAAACATCACACTCTTGCTTTCTAACTTTAAAAACGGTAACTTGCAATGCGGAGGTATCGCATATCATTTTGTCTATAATAATCAAAGTAAGGGTACCTAAATTGACTGCGACTAACATGCGTGGCCGGTGGTTTTTAGGGTGCTCTATGAGGATAAAAGTATCTGAATAGAGCTCCGGCTGGTTTTCCTCACCTTTTTCCGTTCTAAACATCTCACAGCTTCGTTGTTTCCTTCGCAGTTTGATACCTCAGAGCCCACGTTAAATTGCCAGCTACACACCGTGAGTGAGGCCAAACTGTGGGCATATACTAAAACACAGACGATAGACTGTACGCCGGACACTGTCTGCAGTCACTGAACAGCTCGTTGAAAGCCCAGAGTAACCATACCTGTCAAGTCTATCAACAAGTATCCATATGGTGCGATATCCACACGATAGACACTCAGTTGTGTACCGAATTGTGAGTTAGTTTCTAATCAATCTTTCTAATATTTGTGTCTTTTGTAAACTTAACACCTTTCCTCGACAAGAAGGTTTTCTCTTTTTCCAACACATTTCAAGCCAGACTGAGATAACCAGTCAGTTTCTAATCAATCTCTCTTACATTTGTGCCTTTTGTAGCCTCAAAACTTTCCTCGACAAGAAGATTTTCTCTTTTTCCGACACATTTCGAGCCAGGCTGAGATAAACTTAGGCAGGTGACTGCACGCCTCACTTGAACCAGCTGTGCTACGTGTCATTTAAACTTTAACGTATATTTTACCTGAAAACCTAATTTTATCAATTTTATAGTGTTTGTAGATAGTTTTTCTTCTTATTATTATTAGTAGTAGTTTAGTTTACGTAGTAGGTGTCCCCAATTAGTTTTTACTCGTAAAAACTAGAACGATTGACACGTTAATAAAGTTATTCATTCATTCATTCATTCATTAGTCTTGTTATAAAGATTGGATCTAGTGCCCTCCTTCCAATAAGCGCCCCCTCTCTGTTAAGCGCCTCCCTCATTGCTATAAGCGTCCTTATTCAAATAAGCGCACCGATTCTGTTTCAGTGATAACACTGTTACAGTACCAGTACATTGAGATCAATTGTGGCTCATCTTTGTTTAATTGCTCCCTTTTGGCCTCATTAAAAAAAAAAATTGTGGCCATGGTCTCAGTCTCTACTATATGTCCATGTGAGTGCGTAGTTTCTTCAAACGAATGATCTCGTCTTAAAAATTTCGCGGCGGTTGCTTGGCTTTTCGTTTTAGCCAGGAAGGATACGAAGGCAAGTCCGTTTTCCAGTTTTCTTTATCCTTTTCAAATAAACATGAAAGCTTTGTTTCGCATATTCTGATGACTCTCGAAAAAGAATAAGCGCCCTGTCCCTAACAAGAGGCCTGTTTTAAATAAGCGCCCTCCCTTCAGGTAACTCTCGCTGCCAGCATATGGATTTCTAATTGGCAATTGACCCAAACACCTTTTAGGTCAAAATTTTTCCTGGTGGCTTTCTAATTGAATGCATGACATACACCGAAGGAAATCCAGTCTACGGTCCAACTTGAACTTTTTTCTTTAAAAAGCACCACACTATGCACGTTTAAGAGTTTCCCCAACAACGCTTTCAGGCCTGAATTGCAAAATTAGGACTTTTAGCCCGAGGTTAAAAAATAAGACAAAACATAGAAAACGAGTGTGCATCAGCTTGGGAGATCTACTAAGACCAAATAAAGAACCAGTCATAATTTATGTTGAAGGAAGGAAGGACTGGAGGTGTATCGAGATCGCATGGTTTCCAAGGGAACGGAGGGGGATAAGTCCTGGCCAACAGAATCCAACCCCCCTTTCTCCCACTCCCTGGCGATAGATAAAAAAAAAAAAAGAAAAGAAAAGTGTCCAAGAACAATTTGGGCTTCACAAGTTTTCAAGGAGTGCTCATTGGAAAGAGTACTCTATCCATTGAGCTAACCGCCTCCCGGTTAGCTCAGTGGATAGAGCACTGGACTGTTGTGCGGGAGGTCGAGGGTTCGAGCCCCGGCCGGACCAACACTCAAGGTCTTAAAATAATTGAGAGGAATATGCTACCTTTCTATAACATCAAGAAATGGTTAGATATTCTAGTCTTCTCGGATAGGGAGGAATAAATGGAGGTCCCGTCCCCTGCAGGGTTAGGGGTAGGGGACGTTAATTTCCCACGCACGAGATTACTGTGTGATGAATGTCCTCCCCTGGGGTGGGATGGGTGGGTTTGTTGGAGCTTAAACCTCGTAGGGGACCCATGTCTTATTGTTTCTGCTCCTGTACTTGGTACAAATCCTCAAATAAATAAATAAAATAAATAAATAAAAATAAAGGTTTAATCATGCAGCAATTGACATACACATAAGTAACATTGGTCAATGTGTTATACAATCCCGTATCAGTTTTTCAAGCACCGAGTTTAAGGTCCAAACCGGTATTTACATCTCTAACCAGTTCAGTAACTAAAATAAATTAAGTTCGATAGAATCCTGACGCCTCTGTTATTTGTACGAGTTACGATAAAACAGTCTCGGCTACTGGCTTAGACATATATTGTTCATGCAAGAACGCAAACCTTCGCTGAAATTCTCGGTGTCCGAGTGGATATTGATTGGTAGCATCCGTGACGCACCCTACGGTGATTTTCATTTCGTGACTTTGGAGCCGCATATCAGTGCGTGTTAAACTTAAATGAGTACATTGTTACAAAAAATAAAGATAAAATAACAAACCAATCCTTTTAAAACGAATCTGTAGATGATTCTTTAGAAATTAAAAGTGTTAATAACGTTAAAAGGTGGAAAACCTTATTTTTGTTCTTCAAATATCCGTCCTTTCGCCCCGGCTTGCCTTGCGCATCGAATGCACAAAATTTTCCGTCGTAATATTCTTCTTAGTTTTGACTCATTGTTCAAATTAATAACTTAAAATAACTTTCCTTTTAAGTCATGGCGTAGTACCTTCCGTGCTTTTGTTGTGGTATTTGATCTTTCGATGTAAGTGCCACAAAAAATCCATATTCGCCTCCAGACGGCGAAGGGGAAGAAGATAATGAACCAGTGGAAGATGATCCCATACTTTGTCTTTTCCGACGCATCTTTTCCAGATTTCGGACTCCAGGAAAATCGGGACCAAGTCGAAGCAACCTGGGACGGCTGTAGCTAAATCTGGCGGGATCGCGCTTTCTGTAGGAGCCCTGGTCCTGGTAAAACGCCGACGAAGTTTCCGATGTGTCATCACTCGGATCGTAACCAAACGAGCTGTCGTCGTTTGGCTAATCAGGAGGTCGGGCATCAACGATTAGATCTTTGAGTCGTGTCGATAAATCTTCGGTACTTTGAGTAGGACCGTTAAAGTCTTGATGAAAATTAGGCAGAGTGGCACACGAGAGTCTGTCATCTTCGATGTCTTCCGTGAATGTTTCGAACTCGTACGCTAATGTTGGAGGTGCAGACTTCGGGCGTTCGGGTCTCTTTCGAGATCCCGAAATGACGGGGTTGTTGAGTACGCACATTCGAGATCGACGGTGAGGGATTCCGTTCGGTTCGATGTCCACCTTCCAGCCAGCGATGTGAGAGCGAGGCTCGTTCGGATCAAAGTGATGCGTGTACTGCGACACATACATCTCCTTTAGAGAACCATTCCTCGGCGAGTGGCTGTGCAAAGGACAGGCGCTTTCTAACTGGACTTCTTCTCGTTGAACCGGGACTGCGTCTACCGTATCCTCGAATACTTCTGGAATGGGTTTCATCTTGACACGGTACAAGTCTGGTATGGACAGAGTGCGGTTCTTTTGCCCAAACCCTGTGGTACCACACATCCGAAGCTCGATGCGATCTGGAAGAGGAGCCTTAGAAGCTATGAAGTAATTTCCTTCGGAAACTACAGAGATGTACTTTTTGCAAGCCGGGCCTTGTGGCTGTGTGAATCCATTCATGAGTGGTGTTTTGCCGCTCTGGTGGTCTTTATTCCATCCTTCCCCTCCCCAGCTGCGGGATAATTCGTCACGTTGCTGTCTCTCCCACGGGTAAGGCCTTTGTGTGTCACCTCGGTTTGCGTAAGCTCGCATATTTATCCTGAAGAGAAGAGTAGAAAGAGACGAGGACGATATCAGATAAAGGCAGCTGTTAGATTATCAGACAACTGACAACAAATAAGGAAAGCAGAATATTAGAAAACTTGGGCATGTTATTGCTGTAAAAGTGCTAGGCACAATAAGTACTTTGAAAAATGCCCTTGCCATAACGAGACGTAAACAGGGACACTTCCCTTTACGAGAAGGAACTTAGATAACGTTCGTCAGAAAAGAAAAAGCTTTAATAAGACTATTGATAACTTTTGAAGTGGAAAAACGGAATATAAGCCCTGGGTTTTTCGGAAGTTTCAGAAAGACAAAAAGAAATGACATGAAATCGTTAAAATTGCAAATAAAGACAATGAAAAGAATTATCATAATGATAATTCACCTCAGTCAGAAGACAACAAGAAGGGCTTATCAGATACATCACCACTTGTTGAGGAAATTACTTTAGTGTTCTAATCATCAGATTGTAATACTGTACCCACCCTTAAATATAAATGGTTTCACTGAACAGCTCCATAACTTTATCTGGCCTTACCGGGGCCAAGCTGAAAGCGTTAATGAACCACTGGCGGTTTGCACAATTACGCAGTAGTGTAGGCGTTAATTTTGTCATAAAGAGGAAAAAAAACCCTGTTTCCTTTCACAGCCAATTCCCCTTGGCTTTATGGGCAAAAAGCCACTTCAAAACCATTTTTCCTGTCAGGTTCTAACACACTCTTAAATTTTTAAATTTCCTTAAGTACCTCAAAGTAACAGTTATATCTCGATCTCGAAAGCCCATTTTCATCATTCGTTCATAACGTTGTCAGTTCAGATGTTGTGCCTCTTTTTCCAGAGCTTAAGGCATAAGAATTACGCACGGAGGTTAGCTGCCACAGCTACCTAAGCCTTCCCAGACAAATATTCTAAAATACTATCTTGATTTTGGTAACTCCGCTGAGAAAGTTTACCGAACGACTTCACGAGTTCCCACGCTCAATGAGGAGACATATGCTAATGAACCTACACCTTTACAATAGTAACTCGATTCTTTTGTCCCGATGGACACAGAGATGATTGTAAATTCACTGAGGCACGCCGATTGCTCTCCAGAGAATGGTTGTTGACTTCTAATGTTATTGTTAAACGGACGAGTGACTTCAAACTGTAAGCTGAAGTTTCCAGAGACAGCTTGAGTTCTCTCAAAGCAAGTCAACCGCACGTACTTAAAGTACGTTATAAAATATTAATGTGTAGTTTTACCTCGAGGCGAAAGAAGTTTCAAAGCTTTTTTTCGGTGTAGAATTTTGTAAGAATGAACCTGCTCGTTCAACGTAGAATAGTTAGTACACTGAAAAGTTTAAGGAACTCTGTGGTAAAATTCCCATTACAAGAAAAACAGCAAAAATAATTAAGGAAATTTTTGTTTCTTTTTAAGGCTTCACTCTCACCATGCCGAAAGGAAAGTCAAAATGGAGTGAGCCATGGAACAGTTAATTCATAATCTTTTTCCTTTTTCCTTTTTTTTCTTTTAACCTTGAATTACGTTGAAATAATTAACCAAAATTTTGTACGACTAATTGAAGATGGATGATAATTTACGAAAGCTGTCTGAAGCAGCACCGTGGCAAGAAAAGCCTGCATTTCATAACATATACAGAAGACACTTGTTTGGTCCCGTGAAGCTGTCATTCTATCCACTACTTATTCATTCATACTCAAAGTTGTGTCTCTTGGATTCGAGAAATG